TTCAAGACCACAGCCACACAGCCCGGAAGACCCACACCAGCCATCGTATGCCGGCCGTGAAAGCCTTCGACAATACATTGTTCTGAGGTAAACCAGTAACTTTTTTGAACAGTGGCAAAAATGTCATGAGTATCATTGATTGTACCAATAATTTGTTTCAAATGGTTGACTTATGAAGATTCAAGAAATTAATCTACAGCAGCTAACATTTTACTAGTATTAAACTTTTTACTCTCAGGATCCTTTCCCACTTTTAAAATTATGGAGGACCCCAAAAGAGCTTTCGTTTGTATGGGTTACATTTATTGGTATTTACTTTATTAAAAATTAAAATTGATGCATTTGCTGCCGCTACTGCTTCTCATGGTTTGATGGGATTTTAATATTGTATTATTTTTCAACATAGGCTCGCAAATAATTTTGATTTTGTGGCCATGAGGGGGTCTTGGAAGACCCCTGGGGTCTTCGGATCACACTTTGAGAAACACTGTACTAGGCCATATTGACTGATGTTATCTAACAGATGACGGGCAAGACTGAGGGGCAGTTGACCTCGCTCTGTAGATTTTAGGAAAAGGAGCCTACTAATGGTAAGTGATTACTGTCAAGGTGGAAGCTAATACTAAAATTTAAATAATATGGGACAGAATCAATCTCCATTCTACCTCCACTCCTTTATTAATGCCTTTATCTTTAGATGTCCAATGAACCAACCCAGTTAGAGAAGCCTGGGATGTTAAAATGCTGGAGCAGGGCCCCATTGTTGGTTCCTATCCTAGCATTAAAATCACCTATTATTAATACTTGGAAACTTGGTCATTTAATTGAAAAGCCAGTTTTCAAGGCAGTCCCAGTCCTTGCTGATTTAAGAAATAAGATTATGAGGGAGTAGACATTAATGAAGAAATTGGTTGAATCAATTTTTAAAGTGGAAGCTATGTCTAACTGATCACACATTAAAGCTGGTGAAACATGAGCATGCAATTTAGTGGAGATTTAGGTGCTTATCTTCTAAACCTTCTCCAGGATGTTCTGTCCTCAACATTCAGTCCTTCCAATGGTGCGCCCATCACTTCTGTAATCAAATCTATCCACTCTGTTGTTGATCATCCTCTCCTCTTTCCTTCAATGTTTCCCAGCATTATAGACTTTTCAAGAGACTAAGTCTTCATATAATGTTTAAAATACGGTGATTTGAGCCTGGTCATTTGTGCTTCAAGTGAGGTCTCTGGATTTGTTCCATAATCAATTCACTTGGCTAAACATGATATTTTCAGAGGTCTTCTCCAACATCAAAGTTCAACAGTATCAATAATCTATCCTGTTTTTTAAAATTCCAGGATTGGATTCTGCAATACTGAGATAATATCAAGAAAACTGTAGAGTAGTTCTGTTCAATTACTGTTCCTTGGAGTATTCTAAGGAAAGATCAGGAGTAGGTACTCCTCTACATGTCCTCCAAATTTTCACAGTAAGAAATAAGTACCCCTACAGTTATTTGAATATGAAATCTCTAGTCCCTAAAACACTCATTTAAAATAAGATACAGTATTTTCTCTATGCCCTGTATATCAGAGGAAATCATTATTTAACCAGGCCTAGCAACTTTGGCCTCCTCGGAAGTGCTACACAATAGGTTTTTGTTTTAAAGAAAGCTGATGCAGGAATATGTATTTAAATTAAAAGAGTGATTGAATATAAATAATCTCCTAGTAAAAGAAATCAGTTTAAGAGAAATACATATGATTTTTTGAGATGTACCAACTGTGGGCCCCTATAGATGCACTAAATCCAAGAGTGTACTGGCCTTTTTTGCTAAAGCACATTTAAACAAAAAATGATTTCATTTTCAAAATCATTTTCATAGCAATTCTGTATCTGAGGGATGCCACCAAGTTTTGAAGTGATGCTACTCATAGTTGCTACTGTATGTCCTATTATGGTATTCCATTCCAGTTCCCATCACAGAATTTCTGACACCAGCTGTGCAATCAGTTCCCGGGTATCTTTCAAGCTGGAAGAGATCTCTAAGCCATCTTTTGCCACATGTGTACCAATCAGAAATATCTTCCTTTCATCTCCAATTTCAGATAAAGCCAAAGCATCATGAATGTCTGTGATACCATATGCGCCTTCAAGATCCTGTCCAACAACAACAAAACAGAAATGTGTTAATCTACTCAATTCTGTTTTTTCAAAGCAGGGTTGCAATCTCCCTCACAGAGCTGTAAAAGCACCTAGTAATACTGTAAATAGATAATATTATTTGGGGCAAAGAATTAACAGCATTTTATTAAATAAGCTTTTCCTGGGATGGGTCCTTCACCCCACATATAAGTAAATTAAATTAAAAGACCAAAAAAGACCAAATTTACTGTTGACATTTGGGCCAGCCTTGCTATCATGTCCCAGCAACAGCACTCCTCTGTGGTTCATGCACTGGGGCAGATCTATAGGAGGATTGTTGTAGACCTGAAGGAAGACTGCTCCAAACCTTAGCTACCATATCTGTTTCCCATTTAAATAACAGAAGCAATATGCAAACAGTTGTCAATGCCTTTTTCTATTTTTTTTTTCAACCTAGCTTGCAGCTTTGGGATTTCTTGATGGTTTCTCATCCAAGTATTAACCAGATCCAACTCTGCTTAACTTTCCCATATAAGATCAATGTTCGGTACATGGAATCTTTTCATAATGGAATCTTTGTCATTGTTTTTTTCTCCACTGAACTGTAAAAGACAGGCTTGTCAGGGATTGGCAGCCACAGTAATATAGTACCACTATGCTACTATAGAGAGAGCTAGGGTGGTGTAGTGGTTAAGGCACCAGGCTAGAAACCTGGAGACTGTGAGTTCTAGTCCTGCATTAGGCACAAAGCCAGCTGGGTGACCTTGGGCC